ATCTGAACTGAGTTTCTGTACATTGACTCAAGATTTTAGCCTCTAGGTCCTCTTTCTGACCTATGCCCCATCTTCCCCAAATGTACAAGGAAAGTGTTTTCTTCTCTCTGCGGAAGGCCATCACTCCCTGTCTATGTAATTGACCTCCTCCTCCCAGGGACGCCTTCAGGGCTGGTGGCCCCAGCGCCTTCCTGCTTCTTTGGATATAGGAAGCCCCCGGGATCATTCTTGAATGTCCAGCTGTCCTTAGCTCAGTTTTCTCCTCTGGGCCCCCTCTTCCAACCAGCCCTTCTTCACAAATACCCCACTTTCTTCTCAGAAGAGGCAGGTGCCCTTACTGCAGTTTTCTCTCCTTTAAAATGACCACAGACAGACAGACCTTGAGTCCTTCTGGTGATGTTAGTCAGACTCGCTCTGCCTCATCTTCCTTCATAGCTGCTTCATCCTGCTCCCTGTTCCAAGTCCTGATTTTTATCTGTTGTTGTTGTCTTATTTTGCCTTTACATATTTTAGATCACTGTAAGGGAATCTTGCCTCCAGAATCTTCCTTTTACACCTACCACTTTCTTTTCCTCATGTCTACTCAAAGCTCAAAGCATGAAGTGAGAACTATGCAACCAGACAGTAGTGGCTCACGCCTGTCATCCTAGCTGCTCAGGAAGCTGAGATCTGAGGATTATGTTTCAAATCCAGCCCAAGCGGGAAAGTTCTTGAAACTCTTATCTCCAGTGAACCGCCAGCCAGTGCCAGGAGCAGTGGCTCAAGTAGTAGAGCTTTAGCTTTGAGCTCAAAGGCTCAGGAACCATGCCCAAGACCTGAGTTCAAACCCCCAAAAAGAAATAAATAGAAGAAAGTATGGTAAAACTCAAGTTACATTTTCTACCCTGTAATTCTCATGGCTATATGTACTAGAACTCTGAAACTAAAGTCGTAATGAATCAGATGGCTCTTAGAAGATTCCAGAATCCTCATGACTTTTTCCCTTTTCCTAATGGTAGCCTTTTGTCATAGAAGTCTATGCTCAGAGCAGCTTGTAACCTGGGACAAGAGAAGCATGTTTCTCTGTGATAAGTAGAATTTGTGTGGAAAGAGAAGGTTCCACTGACTCCCGCCGATCCTTGCATGGCCTGGCTGAGCATAACCCCCTCCAGAGAGTCCAGAGTGAGGGCAGAGAGGGTCACTAGCGTATGCCAGTGAAGACCAGCCTGACAAGCCTGATCAAGAAGGTCAATAGTGGAAAGATGCTTCCTCTTGCCTGCATTGTGCTATTAAGCAGCCAGGAAAGAGTATGTTTGGATACTGACACAATACATTTGCCCATAGGCTTCCTTCAAAATTCCTCTGGGAACTCTTCCAGACACACCCTCCTCCACAGATATTATGAAGATGGTATAAATTTTGCTGACTCTGTCTTACTTAAATCGTGCTTGGTCATTCTCATAAGAGTCTGGAAGATGATTTACTGTTTCTGTGTTACAATTTTTTCTTGTGTTTGAAGTGGAAATAATTTTATTACAGATTAAAATAATTTCTCCTCTCAAGCACATGCTAACATAATATTGTGAATTTGAAAATTGATTTTTCTGTATTCACATGCTTAATGTTAAAGACAGAATTATTATTATTATTTTGCCAGTCTTAGAGCTTGAACTCTGGGCCAGGCACTGTCTCTGAGCTAACACTCTACCACTTGAGCCACAGTGCCACTTCCAGCTTTTTCTGAATAGTCTATTGTAGATACAGATTTCACAGACTTTCCTGCCTCAGCTAGTTTCGAACCACAGTCCTCAGATCTCAGCCTCCTGAGTAGCTAAGATTATAGGCATGAGCCACCAGTGCCCAGCTTTTATTACCATTTTTAAAAATGGAAGGGGCTTGGTTGTTCCTAGTGATAGAGCATGTGTGTTTCTAAATTTGATCCCAAGCACCTGAAAAAAAATCTACATTTTCCTTGTAAAGTAGTACCTACTTTTTGTGCATTTACTAGTTTTTCAGACAAATCTAGTTTATTTGGTACAATGAAACAACCTTAGCTTAGGTGTTAATGGTTCATTCCTGTAATCTTAGTTACTTAGGAGGCTGAGATCTGAAAGATTGCAGTTTGAAGCCAGCCTGGGCAGAAAAGTCCAGGAGAAACAATCTCCAATTAACCAGCAAAAACCAGGCTGGAGGTATGGCTCAAGTAGTAGAACACTATCCATGAGCAAGCAGGTCTAGCAAGTGTAAGGCCCTGAATTTAATCCCTGATAACTGTATGTGTGGGTGCATGCGCACACACACACACAACCCACAAGGACCCTCTTTGTTACATATTCATTTGTAAGAGGTATGTTTCTTTTGTCCTTTTCGTTTTCCTCATAGCTTAAATTTCAAGTATTTAGTAGAATTGACTACATGGAGGTATATACTTACCTTGGCTTGAAACTTTCTATACCAGGATTAGAGAAAAAATACTATTCTTTGGATCTACACAACAATACTATTTGTACAGTTAAGATGACACAAGGCTGAGGGTGTAGCTCAGAGAGAGAGTACGTTCCTACCTTTCAAAAGGCCCTGGGGGCCAGGCACTGGTGGCTCAAGCCTGAAATTCTAGCTACTCAGGAGGCTGAGATCTGAGGAGTGCAGTTCGAAGCCAGCCCAGGCAGGAAACTCTGTGAGACTCTTATCTCCAATAAACCACCAGAAAACTGGAAGTGGTGCTGTGGCTCAAGTGGTAGAGTGCTCACCTTGAACTGAAGAGCTGAGGGACAGTGCCCAGGCCCAGAGTTCAAGCCCCACAACAACAACAACAACAACAAAGGCCCTAGGCTCAGTCTCCAGTACAACAGAGAAAAAAAAAAAAAGGAAAAGAACAGTATGCTTGAAGCAGTTCCTAACTGATAACGGCATCCTATATCATCATTTTTATTTTCGTTATTACTGGTGGCGGTGGTGGTGACAGTAGTAGAAAATAGATATGTATAATGTAATTGTCCTTTTTTATTGTAAGGATTAAACTTGGGGCTTTATGCTTGCTAGGCAAGAGCTCTACCACTTGGGCCACAACCCCAACCAAGCTTTCAGCTTGGTTTTTCAGGCTAGCCTGGGACCAAAATTTTCTTCCTCTGAGATTACAGGTATGCCACGGTGCCTAGCCTATAGTCATCTTTAAACAGGCCAGGATAGAAATGACTTCATTTAAAAAATACTCCCTGAGGAAAAAGAATCTTAATAAATCAATGTTTAGGAAAAAATCCAGAAGCCACCCACTAGTGGCTCACACGTATAATCCTAGCTACTCAGGAGGCTAAGATCTGAGATCATGGGTTCAAAGCTAGCCCCAGCCCCATAAGACTCTCATCTCCAATTAACCATCAAAAAGCTGGAAATGGAGCTTTGGCTCAAGTACTAAAGCACTATCCTTGAGCACAAAAGTTTAGGGACAGTGCCCAGATCCTGAGTTTAAGTCCCAGGACACAAACATTCTCTCTCTCTCTCTCTCTCTCTCTCTCTCTCTCTCTCTCTCTCTCTCTCTCACACACACACACACACACACACTCATACTAATTGCACAATGACATGGATAGACTTAATTCTATTGAACTGTATACTTTAAAATTGTTAAGAGGGGCCAGGTATGGTAGCTACTTGGGAAGCTAATACCAGTAGGATCATGATTCAAGGCCAGCCTGGGCAAAAAGCTCATAAGACCCCCATCTCACAGGAAAAAGCTGGGTGTATTGGTACATGCCTATCATCCCCGGTAAGAAGGTGTAAATAGGATCCAGACCTAAACCCAAGACCCTCTTAAAAAAATAACAAAAACAAAACAACTGGAGTCATGACACAAGTAGTAGAGTTCTTGTCTAGCAAGCACAGAGCCTGGTGTTCAAAACCACAGTATTGGGCTGGGAACATGGCTTAGTGGTAGAGTGTTTGCCTAGCATGCATGAGGCCCTGGGTTCAATTCCTCAGTACCACATAAACAGAAAAAGCTGGAAGTAGCACTGTGCTCATCTGAGCAAAAGAAGCTTAGAGACAGTGCTCACACCCTGAGTTCAAGCCCCAGGACTGGCAAAAAATCAAAGATTAAAACAGTACCACCCCCACCCAAAAAAAACTTACCATGGTAAAAGTTAAGTGTGGGTGGGTAAAGTGGGGTATAGAAACAGTTGGTTACAGAGTTGGCAAGGTGGAGGTGGCAGCAGTGGGCTTGTGGTGCACAGATCCTGGGGGGTGGATTTGGTTACAGGTGAGGGAGAGCTCCTCCTCACTGGTCCTCCTCCTCCAGCCAGTTGTCTGGTGTGAATAGGGACCCCTGCAATATCGCTGGGCTGGTGAGATTTGAGTCAGGGCTCTAGAAAGGCAGAGCCCTCCTTGCCTGACACACTGACACTCAGTAGGTCTTTCTCCTGTTATTCGCTCTGAAAGTTATGCCTGCACCCCCAGTGTGCCATCTTAGAGGACGTCTGCTCCTGAGGTGCCGCATGGCCCCTTCTCAGAAGCTCCATGTTCATGGATATTTGGGCCCCCTGCCACTGAAGCTAACAGACAAGCAAGCCAAGGTGTTAGTTACTTGCCTAGCCTTGAGCCAGGATAGCTGTGGCTGGACAGGAGGTTCCAACCCTCTAGTCCCATCCTTTGTCTTCTACCTCATTTGGTCGACCTATGACACCCACACTCAGAAAACACTGCCAGACAGGAAAGAACTGAAGGTTGGTCTCCAGTGGCACAGGAAGGAAAGCTCTGTTACCCTAAGAGAACTTGGCCAGAAATGATTAAAATAAGATGCACCAGGATCATGAATGGTGTCTTCAGACCAAAGCCAGCTTTTCCCACCTTTAATTTTTACGAATTACTGATGTTTATAGAATCAGCAGTTTTTCCTATTTCCAAAGAAGGATTGTTTTTATTTGTTTTTATTGGTTGTAGTTTTTTTCTTTTTGGGGGAAGGAGTTCCTGGGATGCCTTGTTCTGTTGTTAATTTACAGTGCTAACTTTCACCCTGTTTCCATTAGGAGATGAAAGCATGGAAATTAAAAAACAAATTACAGGGATGAGAAGATTATTGAATGACAGCACTGGAAGGATATATCAGCGTGTAGGCAAAGAAGGAGAAAAATTAAAAGAAGAGCCCCAGGATTTGGATTTAGTGTGGCCTCAACGTTTGAACTCCTCCACTGAGCCTCCACAGGGCCTCCACCCTTCCCGTGGTGTGTGGAATGAGCTACCACCCCAAAGTGGGCAGTTCTCAGGACAGTATGGCACACGTTCTAGGACCTTCCAGAGTCAGCCCCATGTTGCTGTGAGCTCCAATGGTATGATTGTCATCAGGTGTTTAGAATGCATTTGTTGGTGGTTGTCCTGTACTTCATTTTGTTCCCAAATACTGTTCTTTGAGATCCATTTATTAAACCGCTTCCTTAATACCCACCTTCATTGAGTTTTTTTTTTTTTAAGACAGGGAAGACATAAAGGAAAAAATTGAAGTATGTCAAAAGTCCAGAAATGAAAATCGGGAAAGATGGCAGGTCTCAGCCCTTTAAGAAGTTAAAGCTGTTAACTGCCAATACAAATGTTATTGCCATAAGAGACTCAATACGGGGACAGCAAAAAAGACCCTTCACCCTTACAAGAAGCTTCTTGGTGGGATGTGTATATCCACACGGCCTCCTGTTCAGTTCTCCTCTGCTTCATCATCTGAAGAATCCTCAGAGGAAGAGCTCATAACCTACATCTCACAGAACTCCCTCTTTTAACCCTTAATTCTGTGTTGGGTCAAAGAATTCATGCTTTCTAACTCCTCCTCATCACTGAGAAGTATTCCTTTAAAGAAAAATATCTTTGAAGTCCTTAAGTCGTAAGGAGTGGGGAAAATAACATTTTTTTCAGCATTTAAAAAATTTTATGGTCTTCTCAGCCATATTAATTTTCCAGCTGATACATTAGATTTTATTTATAAATTATGTACAGATGTGCCAGCCTATAGTTTTCACAAAGAACAATAGGAAAAAAAGATTTTTCAGCTACCTTGAAAAGTTAAGGATGTTCTTCCTTTTATTTTCATTTTAAATCAGTCAAGAAAGAGAACTGGTGATGTGTTGTTTAAACACAATTCAGTGTAACCAGTTCAGAAACAAGAAAAGCCATCCCGAGACACTAATGAGACAGCCAGGGGCTCAAGATGGACGGTGTCTTCTCTTCCTCTCAGTATTACTGAGGCCAATATCCAATATCAAGTTCACATGCTGGCATGCTTCCAGGTTACAGGGAGATGGCTCTTTAAAGGCTCCTCCATAAAAAAAAAAAGTCTGTTCTCTTTAAAATTAGAAAATGATTTATAACAAGCTGAGGGGTTGGTTTTGTCCTCTAAAAACCATAAAGACAGTACTTAGAAATAACACCGAAGAATAGTGTATAAAGCTCCCTGATTCTGCTGACATGGAAAGACAGAAGTAAAAATACCTTTATGCCTTTCAGTTGGTGTGAAGAGAGAACTTTTGGGTAACAGGTGTTCTCATTTCTAGGACACAGCAAAAATAATGGAGAAGTGTTCATGTTCATAAAAGTTACAAGCTGATTTCTCCATAGAAGTTTGAAAATAGAACTTTTTGTGATTATTTTCCCCATACTATCAATAAAAGTGCATTATATTCAGTTGATCTTTGAATAACACAGGTTTAAACTGTACAGGTCTATCAAGGAGGACTTCTTTTGAGATTTGTGAAAATCTGAGCAAACTCATACAGCCTAGAAATCGTGAAAAAAGTTTTAAAGTTAGGTATGTCGTGAATGTGCAAAATATATGTATGCAATAGCCTATCATTTACCATAAAATATGTTTTATTAAAAATTCGAATTGAGCCGGGCACTGGTGGCTCATGCCACCTACTAACTACGTAGGAGGCTGAGATCTGAGGGTAACGATTCAAAGGCAGCCTGGGCAGAAAAGTCTATGAGACTCTTTTCTTCAGTAAACTACTCAGGGAGTGGGAGGAGAATGGAAATGGTTTTGTGGCTCAAGTGGTGGAGTGCTAGCCTTGAGCTAAAGAATCTCAGGGACAGCACCCAGGCCCTGAGTTCAAATCCCAGGACTGGCAAAAAAAATTTTTAATCAATTTGATCTCGGGGCTCACACCTATATAATTGTAGCTACTTTAGGGAGGATCACAGGTCAGTCAAGTAAGACAAGTCCAGAAGACTCCCATCTCTATAAAGAGAAGTTAGGTGGCCCATATCTGTGGTCCCAGTGATGATGCCTCAAGTAGGTGGATCACAGCTCAGGGAGGGCAGAAGACATGACTCAGGAGTAGAGCACCAGCATAGCAAATGTGAGGTGGAGTTCAAGCCCTTGTAACCACCAAAAATTAAAATTTAGCAAAACCAACCATGCACTTACAGATTGTAATCTATAATATTTACAGTTGAGAAAAATACAAACAGATCAAAAATAGTATTAAATCATACTGCAAATTAAGGAAGAAATAGTGTAGTTTTCACCCTTTTTCTGTTGCCACTGCAAAAGTTAAACGTGGCTTTTCAACTGCAGAGGGAGTCAGTGAAGGCCCCCTCATCGCTCAAGGATGTAACTGTGACTAAATTGTTGTAATAATTTTTTATTGTAAAGTGGTAACATCTTTGTTTACCAACAAGTGGTAACATCTTTGTTTACTAACATTTTCAAAGTAAACAATTGTGTAACTTAAAACGTTATCTTGGCCAGCACTCTTCACTCATGGTTGAAATCCTAGCTACTCAGGAGGCTGAGATCTGAGGATCACTGTTTGAAGCCAGCCCAAGCAGGAAAGTCCATGAGACTCTTTTCTCCAATTAACCACCAAAAATCAGGAAGTAGAGCTGTGTCTCAGGTGGTTGAGTGCTAGCCTTGAGCAAAAAACAACTCAGATAGCATCGAGGCCCTGATTTCAAACCCCAGGACCAACACAAAAACAAAAAAACCCATTATATTTAACTATTGTATCATTTTGCTGCGGTGAACTTCTCTCAGGTAATCATAAATAATGAGTATTATAGGATTTAAATTATATCCCATGTATATAATAAAATATATAGTTTGAACAAAATCTTAAAACATACCTCAGCCACCTATCAGAAAACTTAAGTAGGAGCTGTCCCTTAAACCACTCATTTTATGGCAGCCAACATCACTGCTAGAGAGGACTGGGCTGTCAGAGTGCTTTTCCAAATGTGCTGTTTTATTCCAAGAGCTTACTTGATACAGAATAGGATAGTTTTATTAAGGGAAATATGTTAAATTTAAACAGGTGGAAAGGAGATGATTGTGAGGGAAAGAAAGAAGCAGCAATGGATAGAAGATGGAGGAGGAGAAAAGCAACCCATCAACGCATTCTGATCTATCCAGTGAAGTCCTCTCTTAGCTGCTCCCTGCTTTTTTCCAGCAACATACAGGATTCTAGACATTTCCAGATGTTCACAGCTCTTCATTTTTTAAATAACATACTAATATTAAAATTCTTTTTAATACTTAGACTCAACTCTCAATATAGATTCTGATAACATACATACACAGCTACCAGTTGTTTTGTAAGGCTGTTTTGAGTGCTTTTTTAAAAAAAATTATTTTTGTGCAAACTAATATGGGTGTGACAATAATACTTTAGGGTATTGTTATGCAGATGGGCTTGTCTTAAAATAGGTAGCCTGCTGTGGCCAGGCATTGTGTGTGTGTGTGTGTTCACACACACACCTTAGTGCTGCAGAAGCCTGGGTAATTAGATGAAGTCAGACCCCAAAATTTAGGTTGTGAAAATTATCAGGTACATTTTCATTAGGCACAGCTTCATAGTAATTGTACATGTTTCAAAATCCTGTCAGCAAACCGTCTTTTTTTCCCCTTTTATTATTTGTGTGTGTGTGTGTTGGGAGCATGTCATTCTTTTCTCTCTCATGCTTAGGAGAACTTCCAGTGGTGAACTCGTCAGTTGAATCAAACTGCTGTACTTGTAACTGCCAGTCAACGTTACAAGCCATTCTTCAAGAACTCAAGACCATGAGGAAATTAATGCAAATCCAAGCAGGTACAAAGATCTGACATCTTCAGTTGGGGTGTATGTTGTGCTTTGGTTTTTCCCACCTTGCTGTCTTACTGTGCCTTTTCAAGTGCCCATTTTCTCTGATTTTTCTACAATTCCCCCACTTTTTTTTTAATCATACATTCCTCATTATCCCCATGCCTACTCACAGGTACACATTCTCAGTATACTCCATTGCATGATCTCTTTGGTACTTCACCAATGTCGGTTAATTAAATTTTGGAATATCTGACTTGGAAGAGCCTTTTCGGAATGCCAGCATCACAGTTGAAGACATTCAAGGATGAGAGCAGATGCAGTGCTGAGCCTGAGGCTTAGCATTGGGTTGAGGTGAAGGGGGGATTGGTCACCCAGTTTCTCCTAACAGGATGACTTCATTCCCACCCCACCTCCAATGCCTCCCTCCCATGCTGATACTGAGGCTTGAACTCAGGGTCTCTTGGATTTTTTGCTCAAGGCTGGTACTCTACCACTTTTTATCATGGCTCCACTTCCAGTTTTTTGCTCATTAATTGGAGATAAGAGTCTCAAGGATTTGTCTCCCTGGGCTGGCTTCGAAAATCATGATCCTCAGATCTCAGCCTTCTGAGGAGAGTAGCTAGGATTACAGGTATGAGCCACCAGTGCTGGCTGCAGGGTAACTTCTGAGCCTTCAAGTTCTTGTTTGTAAATTATTTGTATCTAATTCACAGGGCTGTTTTTCAAGTCAGAATGAGATAGCAAATGTAAATTCATTTTGTAATATGATATAAGCATGAGCTCTCTCATTTGGGTTGTTTTAAATCATTGTTACTATTGATATGTTGTACAGAGGAGTCAGGTGATGAATATCATTAATGTTGTTTTTAAAACCATGTAGCTTTTGACTTTCAGAAGTCTGAAAATCAGTGTTTATCTAGTTACTTGTTTTCTAGTCTCCATAATTAGAGGAAAACAGGATTTTCTTGGGTCATGGGTACAGGAACCAATAGATAATTTTGTTAAAACTTCCCTCTAAGTAAAGGGAAACTGATGCTTAATGATGGTTACGATAAAGCAGAAAAATAGTCCCTTGTGACTGGCCTTCCTACCCTCAGAAATTGTTCTGGGTGCCGCTTAGGAAGTTATAGTAAAGTCTTAGTATTTAGTGATGTGATTTTGATAAATAAGGCTTCATTATGACAGGAGTTGACTTTGCTGAAGATGCCTTGCGCTCATAAATTGGCGCGTTGAAATGAAATGTATAACTACTTGAAGATGGTAAAAAATTTAATTTAAAAAAGAAAACTTAATTCTTTGGCATATCAGTAATCCAGAATCACATTCAAGTGAGTTAAAGGCTTTATGGAATTCTGTATCTTTTAAAATAAATACTAAATTGGATCTTATCCCAAGGCAAAAATAAGCATTTTGCTCAGGTCAGTAAGCATCATCTGACTCACCTTGTTTCACCACAATAATTCGTGTTCCTATTCACCTGACAAAGGTTACCATCTCCTAAAGAAGTGCCTCAGGAAGAAAGGGAACTTGATTCTGTATGGATTCTTCCCTTCGTGGGAGAATTTGTTAGCACTTAAGAAAATACGCATACGACACTGTAATGATTTATTTTGTTACCTAAGCTCCTTACTACTGAAATGGCAAACTACAAATTGCAGCCATGTAAATCCTTGACTGAAGCCTTTTTAGAATCTATTAAGTAAATGCCACTTTGTCACCATGTTTTCTCTTGTGAACCTTTTGCAGATTAAAGATGTAAATGATTCCAGAGCTGTGGATAGTATAAAGGATAAACTGAATACATTACTTTAATTTTCTCAAACTTAAAAAAAATTGTGTTATGCAGGCAGATTTATTTAAGGTTTATTGCCTTTAAGACTCAGATTTAAAATATATTTTGGAGGTTTCACCTTTAAGGAAAGACAAAGGAATAAGATCAAACAGTAAGATCTGGATATAAGATACAGGCTCAGTCTAGATTTGCAAAAGAAGCAAAACTCATATAGTCCATGTGTGCTTTAAACCCAAACCATTTTTATTTATCATTTGAAAGAGTGAGATGTACAGGGCTGCAGGTAGATGGTCTTGATGATTGTTTATGAGGTCCACTGGACTCTGGGAACTGGACATAGACTTTGTCTGAACTAGAATACAACTCAGAGATGTCTTCAACTGTCTGAGCAGAGAACCACTGTGGAGAACTTTAGAACAGTCCTGACACTCCCACACCTGGACACTCCACTTAGTCTGGAGTGGGCTAAAACATTGACATGTTCTTCAAAACCCAGAGTAAGCAAAGAGACTAATTACTACTGCCTGAGTGATTAAACAACTTTACTTGTAAATTAGCTTCCAGTCTGGAAATGAAACTGTCAGGATCAAAGTGTAAACAGTGTTTATTCTCATACTGATAGAATATAGAAGTTAATCTGTGTTCATGCATTTAAAGGCCATTACTGCAACACTTGGCTTATGTTTATAGGTTCCTTTCTGTTTTTTTTTTTTTAAATAGACATTCAAGGATCTATCCTGTGGTCATTTGTAGGGCTCTGTATCCATGCATGAGCATCTAATACAAATTCATGGAGTATTTCCTTCTATACTGTATTAGAATAGCTCCAAATGCTTAGCCAACATTACTTCCTAGAGTGCATTAGTTAAAATCTAATCCCACCATCTTCAATTCTTTCAGGGTATGTTCAGTTGTGAGTACTTAGTCCTGGTACTGTTCTTGCATCTTTAGAATTCAAACTGCTTCTAGATTTTACTAGTTTTTCAACTTAGAGAACTATATTGTTCCTACTTTTCAGCTAGAAAACTGAAGTCTTATACAAGTGGCCTGGTCTAATACAGGATGAGCTTGTGCCCTGGAGACAGCAGATTTGATAATAGTTGAAGAAGGAGTTGTTGATTTGATAATAGTTGAAGAAGGAGTTGCTGGATCAGATTCCATAACTCATAGGCTTCTCCCCCCACCCTCCGCCACTTCCCTGTATTCGAAGGAAACTTTCCAAGCTATTTCTGTTGATCATCTCACCCAAATATCACCATCATTCCATCTTTATCAATTTTGGCAGCTCTAGATTATTAGCAACTGATCACTTCACCTCCAAATGACAGTGGGCATATTCCTGAAATAGGAATTCCAGAAAGCATGGATGACTACCTTAGTTTAAGTTCTGGAGTTCTCTTGCATTCAATAATGCCATGCGCTTGAGGTTGCCATCTTCAAACATTTCCTCCTGGCTCTTAATCCCCGCCCTCTGTTGGAGGGGACATTGGAGCAGGACATTGTGACAGTTGGCTGGGTTTTTCTATGGGGGTTTCTTGGCTGTTAGAGCTTTAAAGTTTACTGAGCTGCATTTGATAAGCTTGGGGTCCTGAGTGAGATTTACTCTGGGGTACTTAATTTTTTAAAAAAAAACATTTTTACTATATATTATTTTAATTTTATTATCTTTTAAGTAGTTGTACAAAGAAATTTCCATTTCAGTTATGAGTAATACAGTGCATCTTGATCAGTGTCACGCTTTTGGTCATTCTCCCTCATCTCTCCCAACCCATCCCCTCCATTTTCCTAGTGTCATTTTCACATATGTACATTGAATATTATGACTGCCTTTGCTCACCCTTCCTCCTTCAGTTGTCTAAAGTTCAGCCTCTCTCCTTGACCTTAAAGCCCCCCTGCCCCCAACACATACCTCATGTACCAGCTTCCCAGTCTTCATTTTGTTAGACTGCAAGTTAACTGTTGAAAGGAGTTACACCATTGGAATTCTCCCCTGAATATACCATACTTTAGTTAATACATCTGAATATATGTGCATATGTATATTTACATATATATTTAGTAAATTGGATCTGGCATCCACATATGAGAGAAAAATTGCGTCTTTTGTCTCCCTGGGCATGATTTGACTTACCATAGATTATCCCAGGTCCATCCCTTTCCCTGAAAGTACTATGGTATCATTCTTGAGGGAGGAGTAAAATTCAATTGTGTATCTGTTGTCTCAATTCTTGATCCATTTGTCCCTTGAAGGACTTCTGGGCTGTTTCCATAACTTGGCTCTGGTAAATAGTACAGCAATAAACATGGCTTGTGCAAGTGGCTTTACCATATCCCAACTTACCATATGGGCAAGCATGGTATGGCTGGGTTCTTAGGGGAGGTCTGTGTTTAGTTTATTTTTGAGGAATCTTCAAACTGCCTTCCATAATGGTCGGGTGCTTAATTCTTGACAAAGCTTCACTACTGTATCAGTTCACAAATCACAGAAATGGACCGGGGTATGTTTTCCTCAGACACAAGTGCCTGTACCATATTTGTGTTTATTGTCCACAGTTGGAACTCAAAACAGACAACAACCCCCAATTTCCCTTATATGCTCCCAGCGAACTGCAGTCTCACGCAAGAGAACTAAAAAGAGAAAATTGCCCCCAAAGAGCATGGAAGCTGTTACTGAGAAACAGAAGGCCAGTGTGTTAGAAATCGAGACGAAGCCAGCAGCAGGGGCCTCAGAGCCTCAGCCAGGACTCCCAGCCCCCCAACACACCTCCGCTGAAGAGAGCCACGTTCTGGGATTTGGCATTGTTCTCGAATCGCCTTCCTCAGATGTAAGTTGATGTTTTTTCTGGCTGCTGACTCTAACCAGTAGAACTTTCAGGAATTTTACCCTATTATATCCGCCCCTGACAACTTAAGAGACTTGATGTGGGAAAAAGGAAAGACTAGCAATCCTTGCCTTGCCAGGAACTTTCATTTTGGAAAACTTCATGCCTTATTTATTCAAATATATTTCCATCCGTTATCTCTGGAAGTAGATGAGTGATGGCGTAAATAATTTGCTCACTAATTTCTTTAACGTGTTTAATTTCAGAGTGGTGGTTTTCAATTTCCTCAATATAGAAAACTAAAAGAATATAATTAAATCCTTTGTGGATGGGCATAAGTGAGCAGAAGCATACAGATAAGGTCATACCTTTCTGGAAACATAAACTAATAATAATAATAAAAAAAGGGAGCAGTAGTGCTAATTCTGTTTTATAGATGCAAGCTACACTGCTAATTAGGTGGCAGTGCCGTGCCGTTGACTCCATGTAATGATAGGTTAATGCTCTGCAAAGGTTTGCTATTTTAATATCATAGCTAGAATGTTGTTGCAGTCTGGGATGTTGGATTCCATCTGAGATATTTATCTGACTTGCTGTTTTATATTCATAGGACCATAAGTGAATTTCTCTCATGAGGTGCTATATTTGCAGTTGCATACTCTGTTTGCAGTATCTTTATCTTGAGTACGTTTACATCATTGTGAGCCCCAACTTGTTGGAGTTCTTAAAATAAATAAAAGTGAGTTATCTATTATTATCAAATCACATGGGATGTGAATCCTGCTGAGAACTCCCACAGGACAATATAGGGTTGGAGTTTGGCCCTACCTTTTAAACTTGAAATAAGCAACAAATCACTGAATATATTTTAAGTATTCCCTGTGATTTGTAGGAAGACAGTGTGCTAGCATATATTCTCATTAGGTCTTTTTTTAATAAAGGGAGGCAATAAAAATAACCATCTTGCCAGGCGCTGGTGGCTCACGCCTGTAATCCTAGCTACTCAGGAGGTTGAGATCTGAGGATCCAGATTCAAAGCCAACCAAGGCAGGAAAAATCCATGAGACTCTTATCTTCAGTAAGCTACCAGAAAAACGGAAGTGGTGCTGTGGCTCAAGTGGTAGAGCGCTCACTGAAAGCTGAAGAGCTGACAGTGCTCAGGCCCAGAGTTCAAGCCCCACAACTGACAAAAAACAAACCATCTTATGACTTTTTTAGACTGGACATTCATTTGAACTTTTATCCAATCCTTGGTGTTTCAGGTGCATTTTTGTTTGATTTTTTGGTAAATCTATAAGCACATGCTCCAACTGTTAGGAAGTTCTAAAAAAGAAAAAAAAATTAAGTTAAAGCCAATGCAGTGACTTTAGCTTATAATACTAGCTACTTGGGAGATGGAGATAAAGGATCACAGTTCAAGGTTAGCCTAGGACATAAAAGTTTGTGAGACTTCATCTCAGCCAGTGGCTAGATAGTTTGGTATGCTCCAGTCTTCCCAGCTACAGGGGAAACAAAATGGTTAGGCATAGGACATACACCTGTCATCCCCAGAGATACAAGGAAGCATAAGTAGGAGGATTGCAGACCAGGCCAGACCAGGCATAAATGGAGACTGTACCTTAAAAGTGACCATGGCATTGACCAAAATGAACTAAACAACTCCATGGCAGCGATGGGAGGGAGGGAACAAGTGGGAAAGAGGGAACAGCTGATGCTATGCAAAACAAAAGAAATGTACAGACCACCCAATGTGGAAGAAATAACTGTATCGCAAAACTCATAGAACTCATAAATATTATAGACCTTGATAGACAATTTGCTCCAGGAAAGTTAGAATGTGTTTGTGACTTTAACTGAGCATCACTATCTCACAATACTGTGAAATTTGGGAAATTATGTAACCACTTAATCACAATAAAAATTTTGAGGGGCTGGGAAGGTGGCTCAGTGGTAGAGCACTGCCTTGCATGCCTGAGGCCCTGGGTTCGATTCCTCAGCACCACATAAGCAAAAAAAAAAAAATTGAAAAAACAAACAAACAAAAAGTAACCATGGCAAAAAGAGGCTGGAGGCATGGCTCAAGTACCTGGCCTGGCAAGCAAAAAGGCCAAGTTCAATCCCCAGTGTTGCCAAAAAGAGTACATATAAATTTTAAAATCATTAAGATAATAAGTTCTATTCTGGACTAGTCTATTAATTTGATTGTACCATATTGTTTCTGCAGTTAAAGTTGGATTCCAGTCCTGGAGAGAACATGTATTTAGAAACAGAAAAATTATTATACAAAGTTCATTTAATCTTAATCAGTTTTCATCACTCTTTACCATTTTCTGCAGATTTTATTTGCATTCTTTTCTGCTGGCATTGCTATATTAGCAGTAATTATTTGAGTTTTGTAACTTATTTTCTACATTGGTTGGTCAAATGCCAGTAACTGAACTTTGTTCATTTTATTCTTAAGCTCCAAATGTACTTTAGAGATAAATTGTAAAAAGGTCAGATAAAGGCCATATGTACATTTGTGAAGTGGAATTAAATAGAATTTTTATTGTCTTTACCAATGTCAGAATTATAAGTTTATATGTTAAATAAAAATAACTTCTCTTATTCACAAATGACTTTGTTAACAAGAACTAGGAAATGAGATTAAGCACATTCAGCATTGTCCATGAAATCATGGGTGCTGATTGTCTTTGAAGAATAACTTATTTCAAAAGAAAAGCAAAACACCCACCCTATATGGGCATTATCATTGCATTATTTAGCAGATACATGATTATCTCTACAACAGAAACTGAGTCTGCATGAAGAGAACATGCTAAGTCTCCTCAAGTACCTTTCTAGTTCCTTGTCATTTCTTAACCATGAGTCTTTCAAAACTTGAGGAGAAGTCTAGAGGAAATAAGTCCTATAATTTTGCAGCAGTTACTCTATAAAACAGGTTGGACAAAATATGAGCAGATGGGAATTGTGTATTTGGAGATGGGCTCCAAGAAGTCCATAGAGTTGGAAGGATCGTGTCCAAAGCCATAAAATTGGGTGAGTGGCCCACTAGCCTTGGGAAGAGTAGGATGAGGCCTGAGAGTAAAAGCCTTGGTATGTATGGCAGCCAAGCCTGTCAGGCTGTGGGTGCTGGGAAGCCATTGCAAGGTTCAACATAGGGATGATCTTGCCTGTGACTTGAGTGTGGTCACAATGCATGATAGGTAGTTGGGGAGAGGATGCACCAGTCAAGGGGAACAGCAGAACGATGGCCAACTCAGCCACACAAGAGGCTGGAGGGCCGCCTGAGAGCAGGTGGAGACCAGAGAACAAGGGCTCTTCGGAGGACTGAGTGGGAAGCAAAGCCCCGATTTCTGTCCTGCACAACTAGGTTGACTACAAGCTGGTATTTAACTGTGATAAGGAGAGCAGGAGTAGAACCTGGCTTTTTGCTCTGGATGGGAAGGAAAAAGGAGTTTAGTATCCTCAAAATGCCCCTTCGTAGCTTAAGTTAGTGTTCAGGGCTAGGACATGCAGGTGTTGAACCTATGCTTTATTGCCTTTCTTTAAAAAATCGCCATTACCAGCATTTGAACTCATTACCTTATGCTTGTTCAGCTGTCACTTTGTGACTGAACCACATCCCTAGCTTGGATATTTGGCTTTGTTTGTTTGTTTGTATTGAGATGGAGTGTGAAGGACTTTTCTGCCCAGGCTGGCTTCTAACCTCAGTCCTCTGGATCTCAGCTTCCTGAATAGTTAGGATTATAGGTGAGAGTCACCAGTGCCAGGCTGCTTTATTGCAGTTTTTTAAGTATAAAAAATTTACTCCAAACTTCTAAAAGAAATTTACAGTGCATTGTTCACCTTTCTACACTGTGACAGACACAAATGTGTATATCCCATCTTCAGACTCCTAAGGGTTGTTCCTACTCAAATGCGGAACAACAAGTAAGCTCTGGAAAGAAGCTACAGGAATGTCAGCACCTCAAGTGCTGGGAGCTTTAGATGATATAGAGCATATTGGAGAATCCTGTTGCAATGCCTGGCACCTAGAAGGGTTCTCAATACATATTAATTTGCTTAATATGCAAATGACAAAATAACATGCATTTGTATTAAAGACACTCTGTAAAATAAATTTACAAAGAATTGTGTCTAGAATTGCCTTTGGTTAGGAACCCGATCCTTTACCAGTTACTTGTTCTTTTCTAACTCCTCCTTTCTGTCCTCACCCACTGTCTTCAAGGCTCTAATCTCATATAGAATGTTTTATATTGATGTGTAATAACTTAGGTGATTTCCTATTCTTCTACCCCAGCTTACGAGTGGAGAATACATAATAAAATAAAAATTTAAATACGTCATAATATTCTAAGTATATTGTTCTGTCATAAGAAGTGATCCATTTAATCCTTACTCTGAGCTCTCTTCCTGCGCCTCATACAGGAAGGCCACAAGTTCACATGGCCAGAAGAGGTGGGGGTGGTTCACTGTGGGAAAGATTTGGGCGTCCATTCTAGCACAGGACAGACACTGAGTAACTGCTTACAGGGCAATGACTAGATGAAAGAGAACTGAGAGGATAGCCTGTGGCTATTAATTCTGTCTACCTGAAAGTGTCCTGGGGAGAAGGGGGTGCTAAGAAAGCAGGCTGTATGGTCAGGCTACTGATTAGTCCCAAAGCTCTGTGATCCTGAGCATGGGACCTGCCACTCCTGTTCAGCTTTCCTCCTGTAAAATGAGGCAATAATAAGGCTTTCCTCATGGAGTTGGTCTGTTGGAAGACATAAATGCAACCTTGTATAAATCCATTAGAATAGTACCTGACACATTTTAAGCAGTCAGTGATAAGTGATGGGTTTTTTTAGCATTGGAGATACAATCTAAGTTATAGGAACAAACATATACATTGTTAAGAAAACTTCCCTGTATATATGAACAGATGCCTATAAACATAAAATGCTCCAGGAAGGAGGTAGCCAGCAATGTTTCTCTTTGAGGGCATGATTATATGATCC